TTTTTTGTCAACCAAAGAAAATTGGGGTTTTGTTTATTGAAAATTATGAGTTCAGAGGCAGCTGATATGAAGTAACTTATAAACATCTAATTTTGTAGTCTGCTGGGGTCGATTTTCCACCTCGAGAGGAAAACAGTGTTCCGCTTTTCACACCACCACAAACGCATCCAATAGTCCACACTACTTCTCCATATGAAGAAGCCGCTGTTCAAGCCTCTCTTGAATCTGATATCTCTGGACTTAGGTATGAGTAGTTTCGAGTTTTGTGAATGATGTTAGTCGATGAATAAAAGTGTCACATAAGAATGAAGTTATACTCGTCAAAAATTACTCTGGATAATATGAATGTCTAACTCCTTTGCAATTTTTGAAGTGATTGTACATTTAGTTTCCTTCAAAATGAATTCTCGTTTTACAACACTCAATACAATATGGTACTTACTTCAAACTACTTTGTTGTTTCTATTATTTATTTTATTTTTTCTAATATTTATTTGTAGTTGATGCTATGTATACTTTTCTTCCATATTTTTCTCAGATTTTCTTGAAAATGACGATCGTCTTTCATATTTTACAGCTTGCCAGAGATTCAAAATGCTGATGGGCTTGCGGATGTTCTGATGGAAATGTTAGCTGCCTTGGATCCAAATAATCCTCAGGTTAAATTTGCTTTATCAGTGTTTTAACTTCTCTTTCATTCTCTGACCTGCGCTATAATATAAAGCTCGAAAATGATGGCTATGTATAGACTTCACTAAAGTATTTTCATTCTCTCTTTCCTTTTCTTATTACCTAACAAAAGAAAAACTTAAATTGGATATTCAATTGGGTCTTGTTTATTTACTATTTAATAAAATGTTCCTATCAAAATGTCTGCACTATTGTTGATTCTATCATATTAATCTCTAATTTAATCTCATATTTTGTGGCAAAACGTACTAAAAAGTCCCTCATCTATTATAAAACAAACACCATATTCTGTAAATGACTAGAACTCGTTTATCTCTCGGATATCGTCATATAGGGTGTGAAGGATGAGTTCATTGTCGACATAGTTGACCAGTGCCGTTTGTACCAGAAGCGTGTCACGGTCCTCGTGAACAATACCGCGTAAGAGTACTATTATTCATCTCTATTATATTACTATTTATTTTTCTTAGTATAACTCTGGTTATATTTTTCGTTTGGCTTCTGCAGAGATGAAGATCTCTTATGCCGAGGACTGGCGTTGAACGATAATTTGCAGCGGGTTTTAAGTAAGCATGACGATATTGCAAAGGGAGTAGCAGCAGCTGCTACTGTAACTAACCGGGAAAATCGAGTTGCGCCACTTATGAACGTGAATCATGAGGATGATGAGCATGAAGACGATTTTTCTCAACTAGCACGAAGGTACGTCTTTACGAGTGTTTTGGTTTCTTTTGGCAGTTATTGAATTTCTTTAGACTCGGCTAAAAATCATATAGTTACAAAAAAAGACGATTGCTTTGAATATTATTTCAAAGTGCACATCCAGGAAGAATTTCGATCTTCATTCTTGCATTTTTTTCGTATAAATGATTTTTTTTTTTTCTTAATGATAAAAATCACACAAATTACAGATCAACGAGGGATAACACCATGCAAGGACCCAGTTCCAAGCCGTTAGTCGCAATCAATCCCATCCTTCCGCCTCCACCATCTTTCAAGAAACCGTTAGATCCAAACGTGGATTATCTAAGTGGAGACCTTTATGAGACCCAACGGCCCGTGACAACATCCGGGCCTGCAAACACGGCCCGCCCAACTCAATCGCCAGACCAAAAGCCCTCCTCTCCCCCAGATGACTTCATAAACCCCACTGCATATATGTTTGCTCCCAAATCAACATACGACGAAAATGCCCCTCCGAGCAAATCAGCCGTCCAATTGCCCTCGACCAACCTCCCGCCTCCACCCTCAAGGTACAACCAGAGGCAGCATTTTTTCGAGCAGCACCACGGTGGGCCCTCCCGCTCGAGCAGCGATTCGGGCTCGTCGTACGACAGCCTGGTGGGCCAGGCCCAAGGCCTGTCAATCAATACATCGCCAGCCTCTGATAAGAAGGAAAAGCCCGAAGATGCGCTTTTTAGGGATTTGGTGGATTTCGCCAAGGCCAAGTCATCGTCGCCCAAGCCGAACAGGTCGTTTTGAAGTGCAAAGTTTAATATCAACTGCGAAAAGCTCTACAATTTGATTGTGTAAACCAATATTGTTTTTATTAAACAAGAATCAGGACATACATGGATTTTGTCCATATATTACATTCAAATGAGCAAAAATGATCTCAAAACAATTCCAGCTATAGAATGAATTGCATATCATGTGAAGCTTCTAAACAGGGCCCTTTTGATATCCAATATTATCCACATAAATCAGAGAAAGAATGTAGCTAGTGCTTGAAAGAATGATTTTGGGGTCCCCCAAAATTTGGTATCACCAGGATTATCTTTGCTTGCAGACATATATCCATTAATCTGTTCCACTCCTTTGCCCTGCAAGAATCAAATAATAATAATAACAACAATAACAATAGTCTTGCAAAATCGCAAATGTCGCCTGCAAAACCCTCCCGAGGCATGAATCGATGCTAAAAGTACCCTTTTATGAGGATTGAATATGCAGAAAACAAGTAAACGAGATGTAAATTTCGACGTCATCAGGGTTCATTAGTAACTAGGCTAAAGATGAGAAGCATTTTTGCAATTAACTCGAATACTTTTTTCCCTGCATGTTTTCGACTCACCCGAGCAGCATCCTTCAGTGGTCCCCAACACTCCATTCGGTTATACTTCTTGAAGCTCGAATGGAAATACACTCTCACTAAAGCATCCATTAGTTCTTGGCGTTCTTTGAAAATATCCGAATCTCCATACAACACAGCCTCAAGAACCTGCAGAATTCAATAATCAAAGATAAGACCAATCTAATTTCATTAAAATGTTCCATATGTCCCTTTGAGGTTTGAATTTCTTGTAATTAGTCCTTACATGATCATACATTGATGAGCTTACCAGTGGCAATTCCTTGGAGAATATGTGGTATCTAAATTCGGCAGCCATTGACGAGAAAGAATTTGGTCCGCTGACATGGCAATGGACGTTTAGGAACAAATCACCTTTCACTTGTGTCCACTCAGCAACAACATCGTCTTTATTATACCACCCAGTCAGCTGCAAATAGCACGATCAACCCCGAAAATAAATTAAAAAAAAACGACACGCAAGTACGCAAGTCTAACTCAAAACATAATTTTTGTCGTCTCAAATGGGATTTTTGCATAAATGTTTTAGGTTCTCAATGTAGATTAAATACAGAAAGTATCTTGAGGAGATGCCAAGCTTTTTTTCGAACTCAACAGGAGATCATTTGGTTTAGAGACAAAAAGTAAACCACAAGGGGCATTATTCTTATTTTATTTTCTTTTTTTTTCCCCTCGAAAAATTTATGACTAACCAAATTTTGTAGCAGCATACAGACAATAAGGGAACACTTACCTGATCACGTGGGATAACATTCGAAATAGTTAGAGTTAGATTAGCCGTGAAGTCGCAATGTGAAAGAGTGTAAGTTCGCGGCACGATTCTGGTTGGCGTGCCGATTTCTCCCAAAAATAACACCTTTAGCTTTGATTCGTCGAACTTTGCCGGAGGGCCCAAAAGTCGCGCAGCCTATATATTGGAAAGAAGTAACAGAGCTCAATTCAAACAGCCTCTAAAACAACTTCTTGAGGTAAAATTTTGCTCTTGAGGTACAATTTTAGTCGTTGAACAGTTCATGAATCTACATAATTCCCAAGATGAACTCATCAGCATTAGTATAGCTATTCCCAAGATGAACTCATCAGCCATACTATTCCAACAATTATACACACTTTTTACATTCAAAGTCATTTAAGATACACTATAAGAAAAATTACAACATTCTATGATATAATTATGCATTTTTTTTACATTAATTTATGAATGCACCATACTTTTGCTCTAATCAAGATTTCACCTTTCTCATCCATAACAATTACATCATCTTCTCAACATTCCAAGAACACACACACACACACACACACACACACAGAGCAATAACAGCAAAACAGTAAACATAGTGCAAAATTGGCCCAAAAAACCACCTACATTCAGCATAAATATTTCTTGAAGAAACATAGTATCAAACAAAAAAAAAAGAAAAAAAAAGGTAGAAAAACCTGGAAAACGAGGGAATTGTAAGAAGGCCTTCGATCGGTCAATGATTGGGGCAAAAGAACAGCAGGTTTTGGTGAAGGCTTGAGTTTGCAGCTACAAACGTAAGGAGATGAAAATACAGCTGTGTGAGCGGCCATGGACAGCATAGTACACCATTCATCCTCTTTCTTGCATTTATTTGCTTTTTTTTTTTTTTCGCCTAATTTTTCCTCAGTTTTTCTGCAAACACTTAAAGCCCATCAATTCTTTATCTTTCTTCGTTCTGAATCTCTCACTTTGAATGCATTTTTGTGTGTGTGTGTGTGTGTGTGTGTGTGTGTGTGTGTGAGACAGAGAAAAGGGGTTTGTGGACATGATGAACACAAATTGAAATGGGAAAAATTGGTGTGGGTTGTGTGGGCCCACACAAAATCCTCTGCTCACCAATCAAACCACACATTCTTGAAATTCTACAATCTGTAATGTTTTAGTGTGCACATATTGTATTGTATATAATAGTTAGGCTTGCAGTCTAGACTAGACGAGCTGAGCCGTTTCGAGCATTGACTCCATTTGTGCTCGATTTTTTTCACTGCTCGAACTTGCCGAGATCGATTTTTTATATTTAGCCCGACTCGTAAGAAAGTTACAAAATGCTTGAGATCAGATCGAATTCACAATGATTCATATTTTCAATAAAAAAAAAAATTCTATTCAAATATGATTTTTGGCTTGACGATAGCTCGAATTTTGCTTGGAATTCGAGTGACTCGTCGAACACTACAATTTACAACATACAGACTCGGGTTCAAGATGCTCGAGCTCGACTCGTAATCGGTCAAACCCGAGCCTGAGCCGAACTTTGACTCAAGCATACTGGTGGATTTGTTTGTAGCCCTACATAGTACGATTTGTTGGATTTGTTTGAAGCCATACACAGTATTACTCCAATGCATATTAATTTAAGTTACATATGATAAATAGTGGTAAGAATAACATAACTATGCTCCTGAATTCTCTCAATGCGATGTGGTAAAATTTCAATCAATAAATTAGAAACATTATTAAAAAGCATCATAAATTAATGATCGATGAAAATAGTGACTGAAAGTGCCACCTAGGAACCCCATTTGGAGGTTAAGATAGTGTTTTGGGCTGGAATTTTGGGCCATTTGGATTACAAAGAAAGCTGTTGGGCTGAAATTGGGGCTAAGATAGGGATAATGATCGCGGGCCCAATACTGTTTACTTGATTCACTTGCAATTCTAAAAAATAACTAAAATTCCTGAAAAAAAAAAAAAACAATTCTTAAATAACTTGGTGATGAAAGTGATGGAAGAATAATCGATGATGCTTATCATTACCTCCTGTTCATTATAAATGTCGTTTTGACATATGTCTAGATTCATCCATTTTGTTATGTATCTAGACATATTATTATATATCTAGACATTAATATGTCTAGATACATAACAAAATGGATGAATAAAAAAAATCAAAACGACATTTATAATGAATAGGAGGGAGTATTTATCATTAAAAAAAGAACAGCATATATTTTAAGGTCCAAGGATTTTATAAATTCAGTACTAATAATTATTGAAAATTTGAGATTATTTTAGTCAAATAGTGTACATACTTGTAATTATTTGATGCCAAGAATTGTTCATTTTTATCGTCCTTTTGTTCTGTTTTAGGAAACTAAAAACCATAGACAAATTGCCCCAGGTTAATTTTATTCAAGACATTAATTAAAAATAAAAAAATAGTGCCCGTGCACACTAAATCCTTCCGACATATAACAAACAAAATTTATCAAAAAAGAACCACAGGGAATAAAAGAATAATTTTCAGACAAGCCCCCTGATATTTGTTTATTAATCGCTGGCCCCCCGCGTACAAAAAAAATTGCAGTCTTCCACCTTAGTCCAACTCATTTGCCTGCATAAAGCCTCTTTTCCAATAGTAAAAAGCACGTGCGATGCACGTGGTGTCGAATGATTTTCGCTGAGTAAGTTTATAAAACAAAT